ATCTGCTGAATTTGTGATATCTGCGCTGTGATATATAAAAATTGGGCCAGAGAACTGATCTATCATTAGATCAGAGATTACATTAATATCATTATTTTTTGGAGTCAGTATAGCTCTTTCAGTTAAGTAATTAATATTATTCGAGTTTTGAATAAAATTCGGATAAACATAATTAATAAGATCTGATAACTTTCCACCAGTTACGACTATATCAGAAAGAAGTGTTATTCTATTTTTTGTGTCTGCAATTATCAGGTAGGTTCTATCTCCTATTGGTAAAAGGAACTTGGCAAATTCTCATTGCCTCCGATTCTCATTAATATCATTAGTTCGCTGCAGTCTCATGTTAATTGTTAATTTCATGACTTTCATGTGTATCCATAATGAAGAGCAGGGTAAGCTAGCTGAAACAATATCTGTACAGAAACCATAGGGTACAACAGGTAGTACTTGACAAAAATTATCACCAAAAACAATGATCTTTTTACCAAATGGTTTATCTACTTGCATAATATCATAAAATATATGATCAAGAACTTCAAATACAAACTTATTAGTCATCGGGGCCTCATCCCAGATGATAATTTGTGCGATGCTGATTAAATAAGCTTCTTTGCTATTCCGTAAAATATTACACGTAGAAGATTCATTAGGTTTAAGTGGAATTTTGAAATGACTATAGGCTGTTCGTCCACCTTTTATTAAAAGTGTAGCAATTCCTGAAGAGGCTACTGCTAATACAATATAGCAACATGACCTAACACTTGCTAGTAAAGTGTTATATAAAAAAGTTTTTCCTATACCACCTGGTCCATCTACAAAAAAATATTCTCCTTCTTCATTGTTAATTGCTCTCGTAATAGCATCAAATACTGCATATTGATCATTAATTAACAAAGGTACGTTGTGTTGTAATTCAGCTTGTAAGTCTATTATATTATAGGATCTCTCTTCACGTATTAGATGATTTAATATTTCTTTATTATTAGTGATATTTGAAGTGATAGGGGGAATTGGCATATCGAGAAAATCTTTTAGAGATTTTCTACTTAGTAAAAGTATATTTTCCAATTGAGTAAGGGCTTCATGTTCAATTACATTAGGAATATCACTCGCATCATCGAGATCTTGTAATTGTATATGAGCTCGATATAAAATATCCTTACACAACGCTACTTTATGATTATCCTATAGCAACTCAGGTTTCACCAATTAGCAAAGTAGAAATATGGTTGCAAAAAGCTGTCGAAGTTGGTGTTCTGTTTGTACAGCACTTGCTTCAAGCAAACAGGTATCCTATTCAATATCATCCTGAAAAAGACCAAGATAAGAGCAAGCTTCTTTGAAGCTACTATATGTATAGACGTTGATAGTTTTTAGGTCATTGAAGCCGGTCGTATCTTTTATATAGATAAGTAAAGTTCGTAGATAATATCTCACACCTTCAGAAGGTTGTACTACGTAAAGTCATCCAATCATAGTCATCGATATTTGTCTAGGTGTCCATTTACAGCGCAAAGAATTCCAAGTATAATAAGAAGAAAAGTTGACGTAGGTATATCTACATGCTATCAGGTTGTCTATATTCTCCTGAAACCAAGCAGTCAAGGTTGTTATATGATTTTGATTACGGTTGGTGATATTCTGAAGATTCTCTTTATCTTGAAATATAATATATTGATGTCCATCGAGATAGACAGCAAGCCTCTGTACTTTTGGATCATATCCATGCAATTTATAATGAAAAATTTTCTAGATAGATTCTGAAGCCGAAACATATCTTGCATCTAAGTATATTTTTATTTCATCAATCTGGGCAACTTTGGGTGAAAGTTGTTGATTATCAGCTTGATTGGAATTGGCAAACATAATAGTCACTTGATCATACCCTTTATATATGTATTTATATAGATATTTAATAGCAGTTATAGAACTGCAAATTTCAATATTAATATGAGCATTATATTTTGTACATAATTTGATATTATGCGGCACAACCCATATATTGTCTAATTAGATTCCATTTTTA